GAGGGTAAACATGCTCCTCCTTTATTTATCCCTTCAGCTGTAACCCTACTGGCATGAAATCTATGAGTCTTACTGAAATCGGGCAGATTTTTTTCAAAACAATGTGCTGGTGATTTGGAGTTTGCTTGCCTGCCTTTTGTTGGATTTGTGTTTGTTTTTGAAAGAGCACTTCTTGGGAAGCTGAAGGGCTCCTGTCCTCGTGCCAGCTGGGAGAGGACAAAGGCATCTCAGAGGATCCGAGGATAGGACCTGCATGGGACCTGAGAGCTCACCCAGTCTGAACTCCATTTTCAGAGGAGGAAACTGAGACTCAGCCAAAGGATCGAGGCCTGCTGGCCAATGGAGATTTCCCCCTCTCTGGCTTTCCTAGTCTCCTGACTAGAGGAAGGGCCATTCTTTTTCCTTCTTTCCCTCCAAGGGCACAATCATTGGGGATGCCTAGGTGGCCAGAAGCCCCCTGCCTGTGACTGGAACTTTCTGGCAAAGTGTTCCTATTGATAGCATCCTGCCCCCACAAACCCTGGTGAGGCTTCATGTAGGAATCAGAAAATCATAGGGGGGGGAAGGGTATTGGGCATGGAGAATCTAGGGATGAAAGGTGTCCAGGTTCTGAAGGTGCAGAGACCAGCAGCTTCCCAATTCTGAGCCAGCCCCCACCCCTAACTCTCAGAACTCAGTATCTGGAAGGGGACACATCAAACCCCCAGGAGTTGAAGGATTTTTCTTCTTTCTCCCTTGCTTGGGTCATGAAGAGATGACCACAGTCACTGAACCAATGCGAAATCAAGCAGGTGGCATTGTGGAAGCCCATCAGCCCCACAATCAACTCAGGGATATGCTTCCTCTTCGCAATCCTCCCTTCATCCCTATCCTTCCAGAATGACCAAGTATCCCCAGGACCACATTGGCTGACTGTGACCATATAGAAAGGACCCTGCTCAAGCTGTGGAGTTGTTAGAGGCTGATGGAATGTTGTAGATGCTGGGGGCGGGGTGTCGCTGTATCCTAAAGATAAGGGGGCATTTGGAATGCTGCCTGTTGGAGGAGGGGGAGGACAGGTTTCTAAAGACAGTATCTGCATGTAGATGGGACCTTGGTGGGGGAGAGGAAAAAGAGGGCAGAGAAATAAATAATCATAGGGCTGGACTAGATTCTGGTTCATGTCCCTACATCCCAAAGAAGTTCTGACCCATCCTTCAGCCATTGTGATCATGGTTTTCTGGGGGATTCTTTGTCATATCAGGAAGAGTGGCATCCACTCCCCAGCATACATTGTAGCTGGAAAACTGTGGCAACTCTCCCCAGCCCTGCCCACCCACTAGGCCTCAGGAAAACAGCCTTAGAGTGATGGCAATGACTGTGAGCCCATGTGACAGAGGCTGCAGAATCCTGCCTCCTTCATCTTCTTGGGAGGTGAGAATCCTTTATCTTACTGGGGGAAATCCTCCTCAGCCAATCAAATCTGGGCTTTCATAGAGGCTTTGTTTGTTTGAGATGCTATAATCTGTCTCCATTTACTCTAGGTACCTTTCCTCCCTCTCACTTTAGCTGTGTGGAGAAAGCTAAGGGTAAGGGTGGGATGGGAGGAGTGTGGGCTCATGCAGAGCACACTCAATTAATCTTCTCAATTAAAAATCGGTCGGACAAATTTTCCAGCCAAGACTAGAAATACAATTCAGAAATAACTGTATTGAACAGGCATTAAACACTGCACCAAAAGCATGGGGAAACACAATTCTACAGAGCGGAAAAGGTCACAGTTTTCATAAGAAATTCCTTTAAGATCGTTAACAGCCACTCAATAAACTAACCCTAACCCCACCCCCCATTCAATAAAGTGTACATTTCTCTAGCCATTAATTACTTCACAGACACAGTTTTGAGAATAATGAGATTGTCATGCATTACCACTGTAGATGGCTCCGGGTCTCTTTCATAGGGAAGGGAAGACAAACAAAGCAGACAGCAAGGAAGAGGAGAGGAGGCAACTAGCAAAGGGGGGTGTGTAGGGTGTTGGGGGAGAGTATGTCTCCTAGCCATGGCCTAATGAAGTGGTTTTTGTTATGCCTGGGTAGAGGCCAGTGTGGGCATGCCAAACTGGAATTGCCAAGGCCACAACCTTGAAAGCCCTCTGTTCACTTGAGACATGTCCTGCTAGGGTACTGCTTGTTGAGGAATGGAAAATGGTGGAAATCATTTTTGTAGACCTTGTCATGCGTTTAGTATTTCTTACTTTCTTTTGGAAAGAGATGTCTTGGTGAACTTTTTTTTTCTTTTCAAATCCTATTACTTGGCCTGCCAAATCATAGCTCAGGACATGAAGAGTCACAGTGAAACTATGGGTAAGCACATGCCACTCTCTTGGCAGGATGGGGGACTTTCTTCCAAGTCGGGTCATTCCCATTTTGCCATGGCTTAGTGCTCAGTTTATCAATCTGTTGATCAGTGCTGATAGGAGATCCATCCATTCATTAAGTCAGCAGGTAGATGACCCAAAGCCATTGGGTAGATTGGTAAAAGAAAAGTTGGGTTTTTCAGACTGTCACCAGGTTGGTGCTTTCACCTGGTAATTGGGCAGAAGCTCTATCTTATGGGTATCCTTACTGTCTATCTTTCCATTATAGGCAAAGGAACCTAGAGTGGTTTTGGTTTGGGGTTCAGTATATACTAACAGGCTTGGTCCAGTAAGGCCAATATTAATAAGATGGGCTTGTCCAGAATAGCTGATATACTAACAACAGCTAGCCAGGGGGTTAGTACTTCAAGAATGTTGCTGACAACTTTATGCCTATTCCTTTCCAAGTAGAGAGCCCTCTCTCCTTTCATGCTACTGCTAGGGGACAAGATTAATTTCTGCCTTATAGACAAATCAGGTCAGCTCAGACTTTGGTTGAAGGTTGAGGGGGGCAATAGGATAAGACTACAAAGGGCCCCTGTAGCTAGAGACCCAACCGGGCAGGGTGTTGAATGTGAAAAGAAAGTGGAAGGGTGACTAAAGTGGTTGGTGGCCTGATTACCTGTATGTAGGGAGCCGAGATGGCTCTAGGAGTCTGTCTGTCCAGTCGGAGGGGCAGTTTCTTAGTTGGGGGATTGCTATCTGTTTCTCTTGAGTTGCCTTCACTTCAGGATGGGGATGTTGCCTCACAGTGGCTCTCACAGTTTGGAAGCCAAAATCCTAGCCTGGCAGAGGCAGGGGAGGAGGGGAGTAGTCCTCATTGAAGAGCAGGGCATGCTGGCTTTAGGAATGAGGAAGGGACCTCAATGCAAGAGGAGCTGCTGCAGATCACATGCAGACCATTTTCTCAGCCAGGCAAGTACCAGGTTAGTTTTCCAGTGGCTCCCAAGTCACGAGAAGAAGTACTATCTTGAGTGTCCAAGTCTCATGAGGCTCGCTCTACTAGACAAATTGTTCCGAGAATACTTTGACCGGAAGCCTGGGGTCTCTCAGAGCACTGGGTTACCATGCATCCCTGAGAATAGCTGTGTCTTTAATTGATTGATAACAGGTCTCAGCATGACCACTGCTCTTGGCTCTGCCCCCAATGCTGCACCCAGAAAACTGTTTCCAAAGTGCACTTCTCACAGCAAAACTGTATTTGCAAAAGAAATTGCATGCACAATTTGGGGAGCTGAGCTGACAAAAGGGCAGAATGTCCTGAATTGGGCCTGGACACACCAGAGTTTACCCATGTAGAAGGTATGGGGGATGGGAGGAGACACAGACAGCATAGGTAATTGAATCTAGGAAGCTGAAGGGAGAAATTGGCTCCTGAGTTCAATGAGATGGCCACACAACATTGTCTATAAAAGGGCAAAGAGCGGTGTTAGTGTGCTAATCCTGAGAAACCCCAAAAGAAACTTTCTCCTACTGGGAATTCTAAAAGAACAACCCTAGAAGAGAAAGTTCTAACCAGACATGAGTGCAAGAAGGCTGGACCTGGGTATGAAAGCAGGCTAGGAACAGCTCTGAGGGGAAAGAGGAGGCACTCAGAGGCGTCAGTCATTCTAGAGAGTGCCCCAGTGACCAAGAGGCTTTCCTGAAGAGCCACATATGAAGAAAAGTGTCTAGACTGAGCAGGGGAAAGCCACAGACTTTGAAGAAGTTGAAGAAAGGGATTAAGAAAAAAGTAAGGGAAGTCTAAGGGTTAAAAAAAAGATAGAAGAATATCTGGAGTGAGTCAGTTGACCTCCTGACACCTCAGCTTCTCTACCTCCAAAGTGGAAAGAATGATGTTTGCCCTCTTCCACACCTTGCTTCATTGTTCCCTCTGAGGAGGTGAGGAGAAATGAGGCATAGGTAATTGTCTGGAGCTCTTCAGAAGCTTGATGTTCAACAATCTCAGATACTAACGTCTGTAACAGCGATAGCAATAATCCTAGTGACGGCAGGAATGACAGAGGAGGTGACTGAAGTGGTTCCAAACAACTCCCACTGGAAAAATTTGTTCGTAATTCATATTCACATCAGAAAACTTCACATCCTCCTTTAATACTCAATTGTTCTCCCCCTTCTTCCCCCAGCCTCTCTTCACAAATGAATACATGACTAAAAACCCTTGCCGACCCAGGTGAGTTGCTGGGGTCTGCATCTATGCTAATAAAACATACAAATACACATCCTTGTCTACATCTAGTTCCATGCTAATCTTATGCACATTTGGGTGGCCTGGCAAAAGCCTTGGGCTGTCTCCAACAGAGGTGGGCAATTAACCAATTCATCATATAAATTCCTGTTTACACCTTCCATCTGAACTCTAACATTGGGTTCATTTGAACTCTTTTCATTAAAATGTTTATGGTAAATAACAATCCCTTTGAACTTGGAAAGACTTTCTATTAATCAGGATGTGCTTTGAACTAGCAAGTAGCTATCCTTTACAACCAACTACAAAAAGAAATTCTGATGAATTTTCTATAGGTTCTACCCTATTGAGAACATTAGCCTCTGAAGGTGTGCCTCTCTCTCTCTCTCTCTCTCTCTCTCTCTCTCTCTCTCTCTCTCTCTCTCTCTCTCTCTCTCTCTCTCTCTCTCACACACACACACACGCCACACATACTGCATACACATGTTACAACTAAGGATAATGTTCTCTGCTGGGAAGAACCATTAGACAGAGAAGACAGGACTCATAGCTTTGTTTACAATTCTATTGGGAAGGATAATCATTTGTTAGTTCAAGTAAGACCTTATGCTTTGATTATGGGTTAGATTAAGTAATACCTTAACCTTGAGTTAACACTGTTTTTCAAGATTCCCAGGTACCAAAGAGTATATTGGCTGGGCCTGGTTTCTTGTTCTGAAAATCGAATATCCCTGGCAAATTAAAAACCTTCGTGGTCCCTGGTGGTCTTAGCCAAGCAGAGCCTCTTCCTATGTTTGTATTGGGTTATATATCCTTTGTACCTAGTGCAGTACCTGACGCAGAGTAGCTTCTTAATAAATGCTTGTCATATTATTCTATTCAAATAATCAGCCATATTAACAGAAATCTAAGTCATGGCTGTGCTATTGGTTGGATGAGAACCATAACTACTGTTTCTTTAGGTGGCACTCCATATGTGTGCCTGTCCTTTCCTTTTTCACTCTTTCCTCTCCTCCTAGAATTTCCTGACCACTATCTGAATCCTGCCTTCTGCCAAAACCAACTTCTCATCCTTAGCCACGAGTAACAGCACCTCTTAAGATGGTCCTGATCTAAAAACGAAAGATTCTCTCTCTATCCCTACAAGCTCCATGGAGCTATTGGGAGAATTAGTGATAAAAGGACTAGGGGAAGGAAGGGGTGGCAATGTGCTTCTCAGGATGGCTCTGCTTCTGATTTTAATATCCAGGCAGGTCCTTCCATTAGTTCCCCCCTTTGCTCATTTTATTGAGGTTTGAGAGAGAATAGGAAGGCTGTTTCTCTTTCTGCCCACCTAGAGTTCCTCCCTCCCCTTGCATATACTCATCCCTGGTGTTTTCCCACTCTGAGTCCTCCATTCCCTTGGAATCCAGGTGGATCTTGTCTCCTGCAGGCTGCAGACACATCAGTATGCACAGGATGCAGGACAATGGCATTTAACCAAATGAGGCTCTGACCCTCTGTGATAAATGTGGAGGGAATGAAAAGGTCACATCCCAGCCAGTCATGCAGGGCAGGTGACTGCTCATTTGGAGGAAGACCTTGAGATTTCCATGGGGAGAAGGTGCCCTAGGCTGATAGGCTTCACTGGAGAGAAGTGGGGGGCCAGGGCAGGGAGGAGAGTAAGAAATTGTCCCCAGTTTGGTTACAAAGAGGGAGGCAGAGAGGGGTGGCTACAATGGAGGCCCTGAGTCAATCTGAAATCAGTGTGGGAGGGATTGGAATCTAGGTAGGCTTTCAAGTAGACAGTTTTTATTCTCATTACATCTTCCACTGAATACAGTTTTTTAGGGTTTCCCTCCGTCCCTATCAGTTTTTATTCTTCTTGGGATTTCTGACCTCCATGATGCCCTGACTTGGGAAAAAGGAAGAGTCGGTTTTTCATCTGGGTGATCCCAGGGTTCTAGGATTGAGGGGCAAGGGATGGGAAGGACAAGAAATAAAAAGACAGCCAGAACTCAAAAGCCCCATTCTGGGATCTCCCAATCTAAAGAACATGCAGACTAACCGTTTAATGGCAATGAGGCAAAATGAGGGGTCTGGGGGAGGAGGCTTCATTTTGGGGCTACCTTGATGACAATGCCCAAGTCAGGAGGTTCAGTGTGTTGAGGACCAGAGAACCTCAGTACAGGGGCAGCAGCCCGGAACAGCAGCATTCCTTGGAGTCAGCCATCCTGATTATCCATCTGATGGATCCATTTCCACAGGAATCCTTCCCAGATGTCAATAGCCCCCTTGGCTTCTGGCTTCTTGTCTTCACAGAGAGTCTGAGTGGGTGTTGCTGGCTAGAGAGAAGGTTGAGCCTTCAGCATGTTGGGATAGCAAGTAGGACTTAATCTAGTTAGCTGGTTGCCCACTCCAAGGGTGACTTCAAAGCTACAACCCTCTGCCCCCTCAGCTGCTGGTTTCTTGTCTCAGCAGGCAGTTTGATTTGGCAGGGGTGGGCTAGAGAAACTGGAGAAGGTGGAGGCTTCAGCAACCTGAGACAGAACTCTGGGGAGCCCTGTCATCTAGCTGGTTGCCCTCTCCACAGGAAAAGGCTCTCCAAGTTACACAAGCCCCCTTGGCTTCTGGCTGCTTTATGAAGAGTCTGATTGATGAGGGATGGGTCATGTTCATCTTGGAGAACAGCATTGAGGCTTTAGCAACCTAAACCAGAAGAACCTTTCAGAGCCCTACCAGTCCATCTGATTGGCATCTCACCCTACCCCAAGCTTTTGGCTCCTTATCTTGTCAGTTTCATTTTTAATTTCTTTTGTCTTTGGAGAGTGCCTTTTCCTTGGTGGTAGTCTTGGTTTTGCTTTCTTCAAGAAAAAAATACTTGATTCTCTTTCTGAAGAATTTGCAGGAGAGAATTTGGGGACTAAAAAAATATTTGCAGGAGCCAATAAGGCCAGACAAATCGATGCCTCCAGGTAAGTGCAAGGCAAACAGAGGAAGGATCCTACCAGGGCTCCCAGGGAAAGAAGTTTTCCTAGGAGCACACATGGTATGCTTTTTGAGGACATGCAGAAGGGCGGTGGACAGCCAGGTGAGGCCAGTCACTTCTCTCCATGCAGGCCATACTTAGGGCAGCCAGGGTGAGATGGTGTTGCTGGGAAAACAAGTGGGCATGGCCAGGGCCCAGGAGTTGGTGGTTCTGTTCTTCAGACACTCTTATTCTCCTATTTCCACAGCCCAGGATCTCTGGTAACCTACAGTGACCCCTGTGGCATGAAGGGAGGCTTGAGAAGAAACAACACGAGATGAGATAGTATGAGAATCCAACTGTTGTTTATCCCCATTATGGAATTTCAGTTAAATACACCCATGAGGCTAATGAGTCTGGCCTAGGCCCCCAAGTACTGCTTCATCACCTTGGAGTACCAAGGGCAGCCAAAGTACTCCATGGTGAATACGTGGTGACTAGGTATGGGGTGGGGATACTCATAGAGGTATATACAACTGTAGGATGTTAGCATGGAACCATGGGAATGTGCACACTGACTTTCTTTTGAGGACTAGCAGGGCTGAGGGGAGTGGGCAAGATGGGGAAGCTAGTGAACCGAAAGACTGGTAGCAGCAAATGGTACTGATGGAGGGCAGACTCCCAATGTTAGAGGCAGATTTCCTTATTGACATTTTTTGAAGTTGACAGCCTGAAGTGAGCCAAATGAAAGAGTCACAACTTGGCTGATGTTTCTAAAGCAAAGCCTATATGTTCAGAAGGGAATGGGTGCAGACCCATGGCCATTGTCTCCTGGGATGCTTCTTGGCAATGAAGTGGGTGGAACTGTGGCTTTACTGTTTCCGGATCATGCCCTTGATGGCTGACTCCCGGTTGACATATGTGGCCCAGTAGACAAGATTGAAGATGGCAAAGAGCACAGGAAAGATGATGCGGGAGATCTTGTCCACCTTGCTGACACTGTTGTAGGTCTTCTTGGTTTCAGGGGGACTCTCTACCACATGGGGTGTCTTGGGTGGGGAGATAGCTGCCCCTGAGGCGGTAGCAGTGGCTGCAGCACTCTTTGAGATGGTGGAAAGGCCAGGGTCCTTGGCAATGTTGAGAGCATAGGTGGTCCCCACGATGTTGTAGGTGTTGTTTGCTTTCTTGGCCAAGGTCATCGGCTCTTTCTTCTATAGGAATGGGTGAGTGGATGGGTGGGAAAACAGGGGAGGGGGAACAAAACAAAGACTGATTATTTCCATAGTACAAACCAATATGGAGGGCTGGGGAGAGAAGGGGGAGGTAGGACACTGGAGTCATGGAACTAATGGTAGTAGGGGGCCAGGGTTACAGTTAGGGATGATGACTCATGATGGGGAGCAATGTACTGTTACCAAATACAATATCATCCAGGAGTCAGGGCCCTTTGGACTGCGCAGCAGCCTGGGACTACAGAAATGAGGAAAAATTTTAGTTAGGAAAAGTAATCTACCTTAAACAGAAGTACAAACTTCTCTTTTTAAGGAGGAAGAAACTGAAGCCCAGATGGGAGGAATTTGCCCAAGGTCTCATAGGCAACAAGTAGCAGAGTCAATATCTGAACCAAGTTCTTCTAGATTTGGGTTTCCAAATCTAGCGGTTTTTTTCCAGATTTCTACGTTTAAGGTCTAATAAACGTGGTGTAGCAAAAAGAACATTGGATCTGCAGTCAGAAGGACCTGGATTCAAGTTTTCACTTGGCCACTTGCAAGTTATGTGACAATGAGCCTCAGTTTCCTCAGCTATAAAATGGGGGTGACTCTACTTGGACTATCGATTTATTGCACATTTACCATGCAATACTCATCAATATGATAGTATGTATGCACTACCCACAGCCTCAGATGAGTGAGTTCTGTAGGTCATGTGGAAGCGCGGGACAAGGTGGCTAGGGCAGGTGACTTGGGAACAGTACAAAAAGAATAGGATGAGAGCTCAGGGCTATCTGGGAGAAAGGCCCAGGCACTCGCCCTCAGCTCAGGAACAGGGACAGGAAGGGAGGGGCAGCAGCAAAGTGAGGAAGAAGCTACTGGGTCCATGGGTTCATTGTTTTCCATGTCATGGAGCTGTCCAGGGCGATGGTCCTGGAAAACAGAGAGGGTGAAATCATGCTGCAAAGCAATACATGGACACACACGGGGTGACCTTCCTAGGTGATTGACAATCTGGAGGAGCAGGAAGGGCTTGGTCTGGTCTAAGAATGACCTACCTTTCCCCGGGCCTTCAGCCCAGAAGACAGCACAAGTGCCCTACTAGGTTACTTCTTAAAAGCTACCATTGATGCTGCCCTCGAATTACTCTGAGACTAAGCCCGCACGGGAAAAGAGCAGCAATGGGAAACAGCAACTGGGAAAGGAAGCTCAAGTTATCTCCAGCAGCCCAGAATTCCTAGGCATGTCATTCACAGCTTTGGGGCTTTGGATTTCACGTGGTTGACTCACGTGATACTTCCCCAGATGCACATTTTCTACTCAAACCGTGAAACACTTGGGGAACAAGCCTCAAGCTCTCTGCTGACTCTGGCCAAGTCTAAAGGCAGAAGGACCCATTCTTCACATGGCATCAGATCCTGATGACTGTGCTTGCTCAGGGTAGGGGGTGCAGAGCTAATTTGGCTTAAGGAAGTATAGTCAAAGTTCCCCCTTTGCTCTTTGTATGCTCTCCCAATCTCAAGAAACCCACACTGGTCAGAGGACCAGGTGCCAGGGAGAAGCAAACCTCAAGATTCTCCAAGTGGTCCATGAGCCACACACTGGTCCTTATATATCCGTAGGTGCGCAATAGATGTTGGCTGCATGAGCAAATGAATGAATGAATGAATGAGTCAAATGCAAGTTATTTTTTCAAAGTTGAGAGGTAGTGAATGGTGAGCATACTTTCCATGGCAGATTTTGAATTTCAGTTAACAACTACTAACATATACTCATAATGAGAATTACTGACATAGCCCTAATTCAATAAGATTCCTATGTGTGATTTAAAATGGGACCAGGCTTAATTTTTTTTTTTAAGTTCTGAGCAGACAGCTACAATGAAGACAGCACAACTTAGAGCATCTCAGAGGTAGAAGGGCCCCTAAAGGTCATCTAGTCTAATTTGTACCTAAAACAAGCATCCCCTCTCTATCTTCTATGGCAACTGGCCACCCAACAGTCGTTTGAAGAAGCTCCAATAAGGTGGAAACCCCTACTTCTAGAGGCAGCCTGTGCCACTTTGGAACAGCACTAATTGTTAGGAAGCTTTCCCTGTCATCAAGCCACAGTCTGCCTCTCTGAAAGTTCTACCCATCACAGGGCACCCATGGCCCCTCTGGGGCCAAGAAAACTGGCTCTATTCCCCTTCTACTTGATAGAACCCCTCAAATACTCCAAGGCAGCTGTCATTTCCCCCATTCTCCTCCTCCTCCTCCAGCCAAGTCTTTCCTTTTCCTGGCTAAACATTTAATGTTATGCCTGATAGATGTTGTATGCCAAGGGAGCCAGACTTCAATGACTCTAATTCATATTACTTTTAAATATTCACATTACAGCCGTACTGAAGTTTACAATTTTTCTCATTTCTTCTTTAGTTCTGAGATGTAACATGTGATATTAGAAAGAGCAAAGTACTTAGATTCATATGTCCCCTCTGACACTCATTGTCATGGGTAAGACCCTCTGAGCTTCAGTCTCCTCATCTGTAAACTGGGGGTGATGATACCTGTACTAGCTACCTTGCAGGATTGTTTTGAAGATAAAATGAGATAATGCGTGGAAAACCCCTTATCAGCCTCCAAGGGCTACAGACATTGCAGTCATTACTATCACTGTTCTCCGCTGTCTCTAGCTTGTGTTCCTTTCTTATGATGCAGAGAAAACATGTACAATTCATCCTTTTATAGCCACAAGACACTAACACTCATGGAAAGACAAATGTCTGGAATCATACTGCCAAATAGCTGGGTTTTCTTAGGCCCCCATCCTTGGCTCTAGGTATTGGGCCACAGATGGAAAATTCCACATCTAACTTCTTCAGAGGACACTTGGAGCAACTCCTGAAACTAATTCTCTACCAGTCTCAGTCAGGCTCTCTGGTCTCACTGATGTGTGATGCCTGTTGGCATCCATGTAAACACCATTCCAACACCACATAAACAGGCTCTTGTCCCTTGTGTATATTAAGATGGTATGGCTATATGCCAAATTGAGGTGGGTGGGCTTTTGGCAAAAGCTTGGCTCTGTAGGGAGAAATGAAATCATTCCTAATCTTGGTATCTCTACCTAACTCCAAGATAGATGACTTTTTGAACATTGTGATGGAAAGAGAACTCTGCTGGAAGTGAGGGAAGTTTCAGCTCTAAAGCCTTTGTTTCCCCGCGTGTAAAATTGAAGTGAGGGTGGCTAGGATGATCTCTAAGATACCTTCCAACTCTAACACTCTATGATTCTGTTGTAATGTCCCCAAATTCCAGTGATGCCACATTTCCAAGTCCATCATGATCAGGCTTGACTAGAAAAAACAATTCTGTGACCATGGAGCAGTCTCCAGACCCAGTGTGCAGCTCATTCACAATCTCAGTTATGTTTCTGTCTGTTCTCCCCGCCCTTCATTCAGGGCTCTAAGCCCTTGGAAACATTGTCTATTGATTGCTAAGACCCTTGGAGGAGACATATATGGAGAGAGAAGGGTGAGGAGGGTTGATAGGAACGGCCAGAGACAAATCTGTTGCCAGTATCCTGGCCTCGCTACACTATGAGTGACAGAGGAAGAAGGAGGCAGAAGGAAATAGCAGCAAAACCAATGCCAAACCCCCCAAAAGTCATTTTTCCTTCCTATGGAAATTTGATTTCTGAAAGTGTAAATGACATCACTTGGGATGTTTTGGAGTTTGAAAGCCTAGCAGGAAATGAGTTGTGAGCCTTGCAAATAAGCAGCACCGAGCTTTTAGGGGATCACCACCAAAGGTTTTGCAAATGCCAGTGTGTGAGATGCACCTTTCCTGAGAAGAAAAGAGACAAGTGGCAACTTGCACTCTTTGGGAGAGCGCTGTGAGTGTCACAAGGTAAAATAATGTGCTATCAGGACAGCAGAGAGTCCTTTCCTCCTCCACATATACCCACTAGAACAATTCTGTGACAAGTTAGCCCATCTCCTTTGAGGGCCCTGCTACCTACTGCCTCCTTGGGGCCACTGCCAAACCTCATGTCTTCCACCCTAGTAGAGGCCTCACTATGACCCTCTGAATATAAAAGTTGGAAGATATGCAATTATCCAACACAGCCCACACCTAGACAAGCATCTTCTTCATAACTTCCAGTCTTCAAGCTACTCACTACCTCCCAAGGCAGCCCATTCCTACTTTGGAAAGCTGAGTCCAAGTACTTAGCCACATGTGGCCTCGAGGCCACAGGTTCCCCACCCCTGCTCTAATTGTTAGGAAGTTGCTGGGTTTGAAGACTGTCAGTCTGCCCACCCCCACCCCCAACCCTGACCCAGAATTCTTCTCTGCTCCAAACTTAATACCCCCAATTCCATAAATCTACAGCTGGAAGGGACATCGGAAGTTGTCTGGTCCACCCCCCCCCTTTATTTTACAGATGAAAAAACTGAGTCCCAGGGAGATGAAGTGGCCAGTAGATGATGCCACAGGAAATAAGTGGCCAATACAGAATTTGTACCTAGGACTTCTGCTTCGAGGTTAGTCTCTTACAGCTGTACCACCTTAACTCTCTTGGATGACATAGTTTCCTGGCTCCTAATCATAGGTTTTATGCTGCCCAAATATTCTCACTCTCAGGACTTCACTTTATTTTCACAGAGTTATTTGTCCAATTTTCTTAAAAGAAGGAAATGGTCTCTGGGCCAATAATCTCTAACATTTCTACAGCCTTTGAAGTTTGCAAAGCACTTTCCTGTAAGCTAGGGAATGCAGCTATTATTATCTCCATTTTAAGGATGAGGAAAATGAGACCGTGGGTGGAGCCTAGGATCTCCTAGCTAGCAAATGTCATGGGAGATATTTGATCCCATGGTTTGCCTGCTATCCCCAATACTTCTCTCGGACCAGTATTGTAGTGCTCCTCTCCCTGCTTGATGCTACTCAGTTAAGAATGTAAGCTTGTAGAGGGTAGGTAGCACATGTAGTTAAGCCTGTGACAAGTTAGCCCATCTC